CGCCGGTCGAGGCACCGCTTTACATCATCTGTGGCTTGTCCACATCCGACTGTCTGTGAAGGGTCGAGTGTATGCTGCAGCAGTTCGGCCAGTCCTGCTCTACGGTGCAGAGACTTGGCCACTAAGGGAACAGGATAAAATAGATTGTCGGTGTTCGAACACCGCTGTCTACGTAGCATTGCACGTGTCTGGTGGGGTAACCGGACTAGCAATACAGAGGTTAGGCGTAGAGTTTTGCCTGGAAGTATGCCGACGATGTGGTGATTGGGTGCCCCTCCAATACTGATGCTTCTTCCCACCAAATTCAAAGCAGTCTGAATGACGTTTTTAGTTGGTTTCTACTCCGATCACTCTTGCCTAATGTTTCCATATGTTCCCTGCAGCCTGGCTCCCGTCATCAAACTACCTTTAATGATTTACCGGATCTAGTAGTTAACAGTCACAGCATTTCCAAAGCTCAATCTGTTAAATACCTCGGAGTCGTTCTGTCCCACAATCTCTGTTGCACCTTACATGCAGAGAACCTTTACAACAAGGTTCGTAAACTCTGTTTTTATGCTTTCAGGCTTAGGAAGCTTGCTGTTCCCCCAAACGTAATTTCCAAATTCGTGGTAGCTTACATCTTCCCTCAGTAGCTATACTGTTTCCCTCTATTTTCTCCCGGCTTAAAAGAAAAATATTTCGTATTAATTTCTAGGTCCATAAAACGTTTTTTTATCCCCATGTAATGATATAGCCAAAGAAGTTCTGTTTGATTTTATTGTGTACAAGCATATCGATGCATATGAAAGAATAGCCGATAGAATCTTGGACAACGAAGATCCCTGCTTGCACAACGAACTGATTGCATTCATGTCAAACTCATGTACCCGTTTCCATTATAGGCTCATTTCTGCACGCACCGTCACATGCAGAGACAGCGTCCTCCTTTTTCTTGCTCGCTTTTTAGTAAATCGGGCACCAATTATTACAGGTTTGGTTGAACACCTCATGAATTAGTTTATTTATTCATTTTTCATCTGTCATTATCGTCTTCCTGCTTGCAGTTAGCTGTCGTTTTTGAATAAACCTATTCAAACTGGGATGCCATCCCCACCCACTCCAATTCCACTTTTATCCTGAAAAAAATCGCTGAGAAATCTCCTCCTCCCCCCCCCCCGGGTGCATAAAACCTACTTTGATTTGAATTGTGATGTATTAGCCTGAGCTCGTTCGCTACTTTGTGTTTTCTCACAATGTGTAATGCTGGTATGTATATTCGGACAGTTTAGTTTTTTTGAAAACAGATGGAAGGGTCCAACGTTTGGGGGACCACTAGTGAGAAACTGAGGGATCTTAGTTACCCTTCTGTCCAAATGAGCTAACAGTAGACCGCGTGATTTTTGCTGTAGAGAAACACAGAGTCTTTGACTTTTCACATCCAAGTCATGCGACTGTTCTCATGCATCGTATTCAACTTCCATTACTCCGCTCGTTCAGAATCGTTAGTCGTGACTACATACTATATCACACAACACAGGGCAAACATGCTGACGATTCACACTCCACCGCAACCATACAAAACCGGTCGCCATATCCTAGGTACAGGTTTTTGTGACTAAAATGAGTACACGAAATGGGACAATCTTCAGGGCTGACCGCATACGATAGATAAAATCGTGGCTGTGTGGCGGAGGGGGAGGGGAGGGTGAATCAAAATACGTCAGTGCCTGAAAACAATAATGGTAATAATAATGATAATAACAATAGTAATAATCCGACGAGGAAAGCTCTTACTTGTCTAAATGCAACATTGTTGTATATGAACCGTAAGGGGGATAACATTAAAATCACAAATGTCTCATTCGATTTTTATTCGATTTCCGATCTATCACACGAATTGGTGGACTATATTTGTTTAACTGAATTAATTTGGAGAGTAAGAGATATCAACGTCCTTGCTTAAGGGAACAAGAATGAACGATCTATATCTGTGTCTGTGTGTGTTGTTCTTTGATGGTGCAGGAGAGAAAATGATTTGTATTCTGATGTACACGCTCTGTGTGTGTGTGTGTGTGTGTGTGTGTGTGTGTGTGTGTGTGTGTAGGTGAATGGTTGCTTCAAATCAACGAGAGAAAGCAAAATTCAACAGAACGCTAGCTGAAGAAGAGACAATAACTATTCGGACAGTCAGAAAAACAACAACAACAAAATTCCGCCCCGTGCTCAATCACGTTCTCTTCCAATCCCGTTCAGGAGCCGGGAACGCTGTTTTACGCAGTAGCTCGTCGTGATTTTGGCTCGGATGTAGCAGAAAGTAGCCAGCCGTGTGATGTCTGGGCAAACGCAAAAATGCTCGAAGTTCCGGTGCGGCGTTCGCGATCGCATGCTCATCTTCCGTGCTTAATCGTCTGCGATGAAGTGGGACAATCTCGTCTTCTTGATCAAACTCCAAAATTTGTGACAAACGTTCTCTGGCAGACAGACGCATCTTAGAAGCTCGCGAGGTTAACGAATCGGCACGTTGTCTCGCCTCGTCTGCCATCTGTGAAGCTAACATTCGAGATTTGCCATCCTTGGCGTCTGCCACACGAAGTTCAGCTTCTTTGGCCTCACGCTCTGCGACAAGAGCCATCGCTTCGATATTAG